GGCTTCATTAAACCAAGAGACACATCATCAGAGAGATATCTTAACCTCAAATTCAAACAAGAGAGCAACATTAAGAGTTTTATGACTGTAAGACTACATAAGCAACCATCAGTATGCATATAGCATTTATAGTGTTTTTACAGTGTCTGTGCCAGGTCTGCGATTCTCCCAGACTGCTCTCATTACCAGGTTGTCAAATAGAGGCCTGTAGCATATTTGAATCCAGGACCGTATGTATCCCACCAACTTTGGTCTCATTATTATTTTGATCTGGTTTTAGAGTCAAGGGAAGGGTACGCAGAGCATGCTGTGAGTGAACATATCATTGTTCCTCAGGAGTAGGATTGGTGAGGAGTCCCACTGTCTTTGCTGGGATGGTGCATATGAATAAAAGAGTATAAGATATGTATAGCCTCAGTGACATCACCCAATAGTTTCTGAAGCAGAGTTTTGAAGCCAATCAATCTAAGACAATCGTGATAGAAATGCTGAGTCTTGTTGGATGCATCGACAGCACACAGGTGAAGGTCAGCACAGACTGATTTCCCAGACTGGCAAAGCTGCTATGTTTCTGCATCCTATTAACATCAGGGCCTGTACCACCTATGACCTGGTTGCAGTCCTGACTGGAAAGCGACCATAAGAGCATGATTAGTGTAAGCTTTAACAGTGAAGAATTCATACAGAGAACTATTCACAAAGTGTTGACATGTTCATATTAACAAGTTTGATTGATTTTCTCTACAGTTGTTTGTGAGGTTGAGCAGATTATGCAGAATGTGTTTCTAAAGGTTCACTTACATTGACCTTGAGTTCCTAGCCTCTGATTCGTAAGTGCTGTGACATGTAATCAGGGTTGTCCAGGATGGTATGTGACGTGGTTATGGCAAGATGGCTGAACAGTTAAAGTGCTGCGAAGAAAGTTATCCGTCTCCATCCTGCTGTTTCTCATCGTTAGAGTTATCCAACCACCTTAAATCGAACCTTCACGTTACATTAGTTTTAGAACAAGTAGGCAGAAAAGTGGACACTGTGAGAGTGAAATATTTTTCTGCTTAGCATTCTTGTTGCAGCATTTAATGTCACTCATACATCCATTGAGATGAGTCTGCTCTGCATGTTCAACATTATTGTACTTATGATGTCCTGTAGATATGCAAAACTGTCAATTATATCCAATATGTTAATCTATGAATTGGGGGTATCAAGTATTGTTTTTGTAACAGGAAAAATCTGTAAGAAATGGACCACACTGACCAAAGCAGTTGTTTTTATCAGGCTTGAATCGTGCTGTGAAAAAAAAGAGTTTAATAAATGTGTTGAAAGGGTTTCCTTGGCTTTTGGAGCCAGTCTCATGTGGACAGTTGAGGAACTGCAGTGTTTCTCACTGCTACAGCTGCCTGGTTGAGGTTATAGGGACTGAACTGAAAAATGTGAGGTGAGCATGACTTTCCTATTCCCCCTGAAACTCCATAAAGCTTCATTCCTGCACATATTGGACTGCTGTGTGTTTATAGCTGTGATATTGTGATGCAGGAGCTGTGATTTCAGCCGGAGACATTGTGTCAAGGAGTTTTGGAGATGATTGGATGCAAACTTGAAAATGCTTCCCCATAAAGTGAACTGCACCATGATTGGCTGAACAAATAGCCATTGGAGAATCAATCAAAGTGTAACAGTGCTCCTGTTTCTTGTTTCTTGTGAGACTTAACAGCTCCCAAACATTTTTTTTTTACATTTTCCCCTGTCGCTGTTCCTCTCATCTCATATTCTTTCTTCTCCTCCTCCCTCCTCTTTAAAACACTGGCACCGAGCTCAGCCAAAACGAATCGTTTTTTATTCATGCTTTTAGCAGGCTAGTAGAAAGTATTGGATTCCTTTAAGATGGAGGAGTAGGCAGAGTTTAAAAACAGCATTATCCTTCCAACAACCTTCAATCAATTACAGTCCCTATTAGACACAAAAAACACTGCTAATGGTTCCCTAAAGAGCTCTGGCACACACACACACACACACACACACACATACTCTCAATGTTCTCTTATTATTCTTGAAGTCCGTCTAAGTTTTCAAGCCGACTACCACTTTAACACTGATCCACACGGTGATCTAAGAAACTCTTAACACAGTGGGAAAGTCCATATACCCTCCAAGACACACACACGAACGCACACACACACACTCAGTGACAGACCTCACTGGACAGCACAGCCAACACAAAATGTGCAGAGACGTTATGGGAGTCTGTGAAACAGCCCCGTTGGCTGGGTGACCAAAACAAACTCCCAAATAGAGTAGATTAGAGCAGATAGTTAGAGGCTGTGCAGAACAAGCAGCTGTTACTGGTTTGGACTGTTTGCTGAAATATAACAGCATGAAAACTGTCGGGACACTTTGAGGAGCATCTATAAATTAGTTGCGAACAAACAACACAGCCAGAAAAGTGTCTTGTAGGATAATATTTTTCTGAAGCATCTCTGATTGAGCTATTTATAGATACAAGTATGAATATATGTCAAGACAGCTGCAGAGTTCAGATATAGATATTTATTCTGAATAAGCACTGATACTCGGATCAAAAGGCTGGTAAAAAGTACTGATAAAACTTCTTTACTGAAGTTACAGACCAAAATACAGACACTGAAATGTTTAACATATAAAAGTGACAATAACCCGGCTGAAGGACAATTAATAGGGCTAATTAAGAACATTTAAGCTTCATTACTCTGACCAGCTAATGCCAAGGAAAAAAAGACGTTTCACTTTTAACCATCTTATGTGTGATTTTGGAGCAAATTTGCCAGCTTAGCAGTGGCTGAATACTAAAAGTGTTCGACTGTAAACTAACTGATCATAGAATATGGAGCCAAGCCAAAGAGCTAGTTTAGGCAGGCAACCTGAGCTATAAGAGCTATCACTGAATATCACCTGTGTAGGCAATGTTGTGGTTATGGATAATGTAACCCAATGGGGGCTTGTGTGGAGCAAACAACACAGGCCCCAATATGGAGCCTTGAGGTACTTCATAGATGATGGGGGCAGATGTGGAGAGATGGCCACTGGAGTGGACTGTAAAGCGTCAACCTGTTTAGTAGGATTGGAAGGCTAAAGACTGTTTAGGAGGATCGATTGGTTGACTGTCTAAAGCAGGGATGAGGTCCAAAAAGATCAATACTGCCGAGTTAGCATGCAGTCCAAGAGATGGTGAATTTACATGAACTCTATGATAGGCAAAGATATCCAGCTATCTCTTCCTAACAAATAAACCATTTTCTGTGAAAGTTGGCCACTTAAATGATAAATCAAGGATATTATACCAACTAGGTGGTCAGCACAGATATGAAAACTAACAAAAACATTATCAAGTCTTCTTCCTAATGATCTTTCTTTTATCCATGGCTCACAAAGACAGATCAGTGTCTGTCTTTAAGTGCTCCATCTATCCATACCTGAACTTGATGTTGGAAAGACAGAGAGCAGTAATGCAAGTTGACGCAAAGCTAGAACAACAAACTGCTTTTGAGTATCTGCATTTAAATGTAGGGGATGAAAGTAAAAGGTTGTCTTGAGTAAAGTACAGATAGTGTTCATGTACACTCTGTCGATGTGTACTGCTGACTGAGAGCCTTACTCACCGTATGCATGCATCAGTAAACCACATCCAACCCTCCAGAGAGGCTCCTTACTTCTTTTTCCTCATCTTCCAACCCAACACATCTCCTCTTTTTTCTCCTCACACACACTCTCACTCTGTTTTCTTGACGGATTAGATCCCCCTCTCCTTCATAGTTTAGATGGATGGCAAAGTTTCCCCAGCTATAAATCTATTAATATTCACTTTGGAGACTGAAGACGATAATCGCTCCCATAAAAGCGCCACACAGGGGACAGAGCACTGGCTCGCTCTCTCTCTCTCTCTCTCTCACACACACACACACACACACACACACACACACACACACACACACACACACACACACACACACACACACACACACACACACACACAACTAACACAGGGTGTCACAAACGCACAAATCAGGCAGTTCATTAAGTGTGATGGACTCACTTTTGTATGCAGCTAGAGCCCGTCCAGATTTCTGGCGTTGACCCTGTTCGTTTACATTTTCCATAACTGCTGTACTCTGTTTTAGCTTCTGATTGTGCTTCCTCTCTTTCCCTTTAATTTCTCTTCCCTTTTGATTGAATCTGATTGGCTAACTTCATGTGTTATCTTCAGGTATGTAGGTCCACTCTCTTAGCACTTAAGTTAATGTAATTTCTGTATTCCTTCTGTAGGATGAGAAAAGGGTTTAGACCCTTGTACAATGCAATGTTGCTGTGCTGCTCCTGATGTAAACTAAAGAAATACAGAGAAATATCATCACTTTAAGTCAGGAAACAAAGCAGTCTCTGTGTGGCCTCTATGGCTTTATTCATTTTCTTTCACTTCTGCCTACAACGTCCTTGAATACAAGAGAACCCCTGTACAGACAGACTGGTCTGTGTGATACTCTTTTTGCAGCTTCCTTAGCCGTTACACATGTACTGTAATGTATGCTTTGTCCAAAGTAAGATTAGATAAGGACTTCACACAGGTCTGCTGACAGTAATAGAGGCAAAAAACTGAAAATGGCTCAGTCAAGAAAAAGCAAGACAAGAGTGGGGCAACAGATAACTTCATACACTTAACCAATTAATGATTTTCAAATATCTGACTTATCTCATCACATGGTATTTGAATGAAAATTTCATGGCAGAAACATCGCCTCATGAAGCGATTGTTTATCATGCTTTTATTTTGCATTGTAAAAATGTGCTTTCATTTTGAAGTAGAGGCTACTTCTGGTTAGTCTTTGGTTAAACATTTGAAAGAACAGCTGAAATTTCTACATGTAACCTGAAGAGGCTTAAGCTTTGAGCATCACAGTTAATCTAGAATTGTTTGCTTACAGTCTGCTGCTTGCCTCTTCTCTGTTTAATGACCACCACTAAGAACTGAACTTATGACCATATGTTTATTTTGAGGCCAATATCAGCGTTTCTTTAAGCTTTTAAAGATAGATATCATCAACATCTGGCTGATCTTGGTTTATTTTGTGTTTGATATGTGTGCGGTGTAATAATGTGCTCAAATACACCTGCACACACACAGACACACAGAATGGGTTGGATCTTGGCTGACTGATGCCATACTGTTGGAGTATTTAGGTGGGATCCTCCTTTAATTTTGTTTGTATTTTGTGTGTGTGTGTGTGTGTGTGTGTGTGTGTGTGTGTGTGTGTGTGTGTGTGTGTGTGTCAGGGAGAGGAGAGTGATTGGAGACGTCGTCTTCCTGAGAGGAAAAGTTTGAGCTTATCTTAAAAACCACATGGCCTCTCTCTCTTTACTCACTGTTGAAGCTGCCATGACCAGAGGGAGTCATGGGGGGGATGGGGGGTAGGAGGGAGGACAATGAATCTGTGTATGTGAGAAGAGAGATAAAGAAGTCAGATAGTGGGTCAGTATTGTGTAATCTTAGTCATAGTGACTGCCACCATGACATCACCAGTGTGTATAAGTAATAAACTACTACTAATAAAGTAATAATATACATCAGAGTGTTGGAGCCACAGAGAAGATTTTTGTTTTAAATTAAGATTTCAAGAATCAGGTTCCTGTTTCTTAACCTTATTCTTATGACCTAAATCTCATAACATCGCAACCTTATCTCTTAAAACATGACTACTTTAACCTTGAAACAAAACCACATATTTTTGTAACATAACGACTTTATTCTTGAGAAAGCAACTTTAGTCTTCAAACATAAGTTTATTCTTAAAAAATAACAGTTTTATTCTCCAAGCACGACAAATATAACTATTCTCGTGACAAGACTTAACTCTGGTAACATAACAGCGTCATTCTTGTAATGTTAATTTATTTTGTAACATAACTTTCCTTAAACTCATAACAACTTTATTCTTGAAACATAGGGACTTTATTAGAGTGACATTTTTTTTTTTTCAAACAAAACGTCTTTATTTTTGAAATAGGAAAACTTAATTTGCAAACATACTGACTTCAATCATTCGCTCTAATGGCCTAATGGCTTTATTCTCTTTACATAACTATGTTTTTGCAACAACTTTATTGTCAAAAAGTAACTTTTTTTTTCTGGGAACTGAACAATTCTATTCTCCTAACTTAAAACCTTACTGTCAGTCCATAACTTTATTCTTAAAACACTGTTATTTGTGAAACTTAAAACTTGTTGCAAAATATCTTTAACCTTGTAACATAATGACTTTGCTCTTGTTACATAACTATTTTGTTTTTGCTAAATAGCACCTGTTATCTACTTGTTGTCTTTTTTTTTTGCTACATTCAGACTTTATTCTCTAAATCTTGAAATGGAATTTATATTCCAAAATTATTAAGTGAATTTTACTGGCACTTTCAAAACTGATTTAAAAGGTGCTCTTTGAAAAAAAAAAGTCAAAAACTAAAAAAAAAAGTGGTTAATTAACAGCAGGAGATATTGGAAATAGATACATAGAAAAGAAATTAAAGAGAGGGATTACGAAGAAAATTGAGCAATCAATAAATGAAAACTGCCAATAAATAAAGGTAAATAAAGCAACAGTAAAGAATAATAAAAATACTTGATATGGTTTGATAGAAATCTAAACATCAAAAGAAACACCCAGTTCATAAATACTGAGCTGGTGAAACAAGAAAGAACAGCTTCAGCCGAATAAACTTCATGTCATGTCAGGGTTTATGTCATTTCTAGAGCTCCGTCGTGCTCCCAGCAGCTCACGCTTGGCATCATACTTCTTTGGTGTAACTTCAGGCGACGCTAAAGATGAAACAAAGAACAAGAAAAAGAGGAGAGAGAGAAATGAAAGTGCGTAAAATGAAAGAAAACATCAGTGAGGCAGAGGAAAGCTGTTTAGTAGGTAAAAACTGAAAAGACTTGTCAGCACAAATAAAGTGAGGAAGTGCGGAAAAAAAGGGGAATACATGCTCACAGAGAAATGAAAAGGTCAGAAGTAAGAAAAGCAACCGGAGCTCAGAACGAAAAAAAGGTCAGAATCAAATAGACAGAGAAGAAAAGAGAGAAACGAGGAACCCATATGCTCAACAGTATGGAGTGACACTGTGTGTGTGTGCGTGTGTGCGTGTGTGCGTGCGTGCGTGCGTGTGTGTGTCAGCATGTTTCCCACCTTAATGAGACTGTGGCTCAGCAGAGTAGGGGGGCGTCGACTCTGACTCCTCTGCCAGTCCCTCCTTATTAAACCGGCAGAGAGAGAGAGAGAGAGCGAGGAACAGTAGATAAAAATAAGTTGGTTATTCTGGTGTGATATCAACAAAGAGGTGGAAAAGACTTAAATCAGGGAAAATAAACGCTAACGAGGAGTAAGAGGTGCTGAAACATTAAGATTAGAGATTTTTGAGCCAGTTTGGGGTCTTTTAAAGGAGTAGTATCATCAATATAATCTATAGATTCTAAGGGTGGGAATCACTTATTGTCCACGATACGATATTATCACGATATTTGGGCCACGATTTGATATTATTGCGATTTTTAACATTTTGCAATATGAGTATTGTGATACCATATATTGTGATTTATACAATTTTTTTAACTGCTTAGCTCATTTAGCATTTGGCTTTACCTTATGTTTGTCTTATTTACGCTGTATTTTATTTTCATGAAGCCCATCTTGTAAACCTCATGTGTCAGGTCCATCTCATTTGTGCTCTGCTTGCATTCTTAATGTCCCTCGCCAGGTGCTGTTTGTTGTACTAACTTTCTCCTGCTCTATGATGTCACCTCTGCTAACCTCACTGGACAAACAACAGATTTTTTTTTTGGTCAATGAGAAGATACGATATATCACCAGACAAAATATTGCAATACTATGCTGAATTAATTTTTCGTCCCATCCCTTATAGCACTGATCACACATCTATTTCAGTTTTACGTATACATGAGTCAAAGTCAAAGGGAAGCCCTGCCAACAGAAGTTGTTTTTTCATGCAGCAATGACTCTATAGCTTCCTGGTGTCTTTAGATTTCACTCTGTCACTAAACTAAGCCTTTAAATGTGATAAAAGATAGATTGACATTTAGTGTGAAGTCTGTCGATATTTGTTCATATTTCTCAGCCTTAGATATGATTATGACATCAAACCTGTGCTCCCATGCTTCGATGATTTTCCCAGGAGTTTCAAAATAAAATAGATAGTGTCAGAAATTATCGAGGACTTTAATTTTTCCCCCCAAAACTTTTCTAAATTCACAAATATAGGAGAAAATTATGTTTATCAGACTATGGAAAGCAGCACCTATTTATTTTTGTCTCTTTCCTCTGTGGGCTTCAGTAGAAAACACTCAAAAGAAAAAAACAACCCCAGTGCCAAAGCTGAGACCAGCCTGACTAAACCAACTTAATTTTATTGTGACCATGAGATTTGATAAGACATCGCAGCAGGCGCACTTCCCAAGGACCTCACAGTGTTTCCTTGAGCCGAGATAGTATTGCTCAAATAAATTTCTAAGAGTATCCTCAGCTGAAACATTTAAGCAAATTTTCATGAGTACAGCCGCAGCTCAATGCAGTTAAGATCATTTGGGGGTTACAGAGATTGGTCTGCTCGCTGGCAGCCTGTTGATGACTTTGTTTTGTTCTCTGTGGTCTCCAGGAGACATATGGTGCTAGTTCTGGTCTAGACTTGGTTCTCAGGTCCCAAAAGGGATGTTGAGAGAGAGAGAGAGAGAGAGAGAGAGAGAGAGAGAGAGAGAGAGAGAGAGAGAGAGAGAGATCACTCTGCTGTGAAAGGCTGTGATTCCTGCTCTGATTCTCTAAGTGTGTGAGAGGAGAAGCAGATCTGTCGAGGTCCGTCCATCAGTCAGACTCAGCTCTGCTGCAGCAGGACATCGTCTGGACTCTGCATGTGTATTGCATGTAAAATGACCCGCATGTGTTTTTGCACTCAAGTGTGGGCGAGAGTATGTATGAGCGGGGAGTGTAATGTGAATATCAGAAGAGAAGCAGAGCGTGAGTGTGTAATGTTGACATCAGAGGTATTGTGTACCCTGCTGCTACTCTCCTCCACTGCTGCATTTATTAAAACCAGCTCTGCAGGAAACCACACAACATCTGGAGAAGGCATCACACACACACTCACATACACACAAAACACACACACGCACACAGCAGGTCTGTCACATTCCTCACCAGAGGTACAGTGCATATGTAAAGTCCATAAACCCGAGTGTCCACATTCATCTCTTCTTAAGCTTTTGTGTGTGTGTGTGTGTGTGTGTGTGTGTGTGTGTGTGTGTGTGTGTGTGTGTGTGTGTGTGTGTGTGTGTGTGTGTGTGTGTGCGCGCGCGCGCGCATGTGTTTGTTTCCCTGTGAGCAGTAGCAGCAGTAGCTGTCTCACAGTGATGCTGACCTCAGGTCATTCAGATGGGGGCAGGTTAGGAGCTGGTCTGTGTGTCCCAGAGGAGAGGACTACTGATCTTGGAGTCAGAGAGGTTTCTTGAAGAGTTTCCGAAAACAGATTTGAATTGGACTCTTTAATATTAGGAGTTTCAGATAGTTATGATTACTGGAGATAGTCACTTAGGATGGGGGTTAGCTCCAAATATCAGCTGCATCTGGCCCTGGTCTGGCCACCCCAGAGAAAACAGTCTGGCTCTGCCCCTACTTGAACCTCAATTTGATCAGTAAGTTGTGTCTTGATGAATTTTCACTCTGTTTTATGTTTGTCTTAATTCTTTTCAATGAAAAATGTCAGGTCGTCTGGATTTATTTATGCTTAAATCACACCAACATCCACCGAGCAAAGAGAGGCAAAAAGAAAGACTTAAAGAAAGAGGGAGATCACAAAAGACAAAATATTTCCTACAGCATAAGGTTAGATTTTACAACTTTTCTACAACTTTATACAACCAAAAAAAAAAAAAAAAACTGTCCTGGACACAACTTCAAAATAAAAGCATTGTGTGAAGACAAAGGGAATCTCTCCACGGAAAGACCAGATCAGACTTTTGCTTTGAAAGTCATTCCAGACGTACAAACCAAAGTGTAGTTTTCATGTATGTTAACATAGGTGAAGTGGGTTTATCCAATATAGTCAGCATGTACACAAAAAACTACCTTGCATGCACACTTACTTTTGTTTAACACAGCAGATGATTCAGTGAAAAAAATGTTCCTGAAAAGAAAAAAAAAAAAGGAGAACTGTAAAAACAAAGGCTGAAGTTTCGGGAGCTCCTCTGACAGTGTTTAACAGCATGAATATACAGTAGGTCTGTTATGTAAACTCCACTTCTATACACAGAGAGTTTGTTATTGTGGTTTAATTTAAGAACCGAATAAATGTTTCAGTGGATTTTGCCTCCAGGCAACAGGAACACAAACACTAATGAACACCTACAATGACTCATTCATTAAACTAAGGACAACACGCTGGAAACACACAGGACTTTCTGCCTGAGTGAAACTCAGTGAGATCAGGTTTCCGCTGTTTGCAGAGAGTTTGTGTATGTGTTTGTGTGTTTACTGGCAGTACTGATGAATTTTAGATTAAAACCGCAGACATCTCTTGTTCTCATAGCCAAATGAGAGCCAATTACCATGCTCATCTAGCTGCAATTTGTTGTGCCCTAACTTACTTTCCTATGTGGGCCAGGTACTGGATTCAAACCATGAGAGGTGACAGCTTTAGCACTCAAGTGACCCTGTTACTGTCGTCCAAGTCATCATCTACTGGTGGCTGCATCAATGAATCCTTGTTTTCCAAACTAAACGGAGGGGTGACACAGCTTCAGGTCTGTAACTACTCCAGACCAACGAGGTGTGAAAATACCCCTTAGTAACAGAAGAACTGGCTGCCCCCTGAGGACGTCTGAGACTGTGATGGAAGACAAGAAAGGGGAGAGGCGAAAAAAAAAAGAGGTTAGGATGGACAGGATGAATAAATGAGAGGAGAGAAAGGCAGTGAGGCAGGGAAGAGAGAATAGGGAAGAGGAAAGAAGGATGAGAGGAAGCAGGAAGGGAGTGAGGAGTTATGAGATGAGCGGAGGGTGGAGATGCATAAATGTAATAAATAGGGTTAAAAGTGGGGAAATGTACTTTGCATGAGCGGATGAGGCAGGAGGGAAGGTTGAAGGCAGTGAGACCGACTGCGTGTGTGTGATAGAGTGTGCGTTTGTGCATGTAATTGTGTGTGTGTGTTGTGGATAGGGACAGAAAGCATGAGAGAGGGGTTTATCCAGAACTGTGTTTATCCTGTCTGCTCACTTGGGGAGAGAGAGGACTGCAGGCCTTTACTCAACAAAACAGAGAGGCAGCTATCAGCTCTCAGCTCTGCCAGAGTCCCACTGCCTGTGTGTGTGTGCGTGTGTGTGTGTGTGTGTGTGTGTGTGTGTGTGTGTGTGTGTGTGTGTGTGTGCCTGGCACGACGACTACTGTACGTGTAGATAGTGTGTGTCTCCTCCTCTGAGCCTCTTTGTATACACAGGCCTTCTATCCCTAAATACATGAATCAGACCTCAGTGAGTAGTTGTAGCAGCCGAGGGATCTTGTCAAATGTGTGTTCCTACATTTGACTGGAAGCTGCAGACAAACTGTGCAGAATGGGTGCCTGCACTGAAGAAACTTTAAACCTGTTAGATTTTATGAAAGAGAGCTGACGACAAAATACGTCTGACCAACATCACCCCACAGCAGCAGCCGCACATGAAGACACACAGGTTTGAGCTGATTTGAAGAGAGCTGAAAAGACCAAATGTGTGCTTTCACTCTAGTCTATTTAGTTTAGCTGAGTGCTTTTGAGGTGCTTTATTTCACCCCTCAGTGGTGTGCGCCCAGGTTCCCTTGAACAGTTTCAGTGACGTAAGAGAGTGAATCGATTGTTGAATGTGTCAAGTTGAAGGGGTTACAAACTGTTGGTGTACGGTGTAAAAGCAATAAGGGAGATAAAATATTCTCAAAATAAAAAAACTCTCACTTTTACCCTTGTGTCCCACAATCATGCATTCTTGCTGAGGAAAAAAAAGACCACCAAGTGTCTCCAGGCGTGTCCTCTAACACCCTTACTGCACTCTGACCTCAATTTCTTTAGCACCTGTAGTGTTGTGACTAGGACTGGGCAATTTGGCAAAAATGGAAATGATCACGATATATTTTGTCATATTGTCCGGTCTCGATTATTATCATGATTTTTTCTTTCTTTTTTTTTAAACTGCCAGTTTTAATGCATTTGTATAAAAAACTAAAGAAACTAGAGATTATTTTAACATGTTATTATCATAAAAAGTAAATAACAAAGCATATTGAATAAGATAAACTTAAAAAATATACATGAATAATAAATAATAATACAGTAAATTAGTGTACAGTCCTGATTGAGCAGGTATGCAAGATCCAAGATAAACAAATCGCCCCCTCAGGGATAATGAAGACATCTTAATATGTAAACATTAGAGGATGTAACTGTAGATGATATGATTGATTGCTGCTTCGGTCTGGTGGCTGCACCGCTAGTTGTGGCTAAACTGCTAATCCTACTTGTGCCGTCAGCAATGACAGGCTGTGCAGACTCGACTCACATTTTCATGTTTTCCGCATAATTACTTTGGAGGTACCTCCTTCAAATGGTTAAACAGATCTATTGTGTTGCTGGTTTTTGAGGGCACCGACCACCGACATAACTTGCACATCGACTTTGAAGATACCCGAGCCAGCATCACACAACCAATGTTGAATAACTTTTCTTTTCAACAATGGCATCTTTGGAGGATGACTCACAGTCATGGCTGACATTTATTTTGCTTTCAGCTCCACGTTTAGTCATTCTGTTTACTTCTCCAGCAACTTAGACGTGAGCAGGAAAATCTCGACTCTGATTCGCTGTTGTGACGCACATTTCTGCTATGTTTTGCTATGGTCGAGTAAATATGCTCACAGCTGATAACCGTGATTGAACTGAAATTGATCATGATCATTAATCACGGTCATATAATTGCTCAGTCCTAGTTGTGATATTAAAAACAAAGTTACCTGGACATCTCAAGATGAAGGGGAGAGTGCAGACTACACTTGCACTGATCAGAAATCCTTACCAGCTTATTATCAGTAGGGTGAGAAGCTGCTGGAGGAGACTCTTCTTACTCACTGACTTATTTATTTGACGGGAACAAATGATGATAGGTAACAATTTTTTTTTTTTAAGTAAAGCTTTTTTGCTTTAAGTAATTTTATTGACTTGAGATTTAAGATGTCAAGAATAAAAAGTTCAGATTTTACAAAATGTAAAATAAAGAGTACACTGAAGAAAGTACAAACACTGTGAATACACTAAAGTAACTCATTCAGAGTTCCCTAATGTCTCTTTTTTTGGTCTCTATTTACAGTTGATATATCCTGAAAGATTCAAGTTTACTCGGACATGCAAATTTACTCTGCTTGAGACATTAGACCAAAGAAAACTTCAAAAACTCCTCCAAATAGTTTTCAGAGATTAAACCATCAGACTCGGCACAATTGGACAATGTGAGGCGGAAACAGATTCATCACCAGACAGAGCTTCATACTCAGGAGGCAAACCAGAGCAGCATCAGTGAAGAGTTATTTAAGGCGGTTTGTAATTTGCTGGTGTTATGCATGTGGAATCTCACGATGCTGCACTAATCATTTTTAATTTACATTTCATTTCCTCCTCTAAATCGTAAACAGCACTGATAACTAAACTCGAGGCTCTGGTCCTCACCTAGGTCGGTGTATTTTCAGATGCTCCCAGGTGGTCAGGTAAGATGTGTTGCCAGGGTGATGTGGTGACAGCATGTCTGTTACCAAGGCATCCCACAGAGGCAGCAGGAAATGGGCCTGTCCCCACAGATCTCCTGAAGTACGCATACTTACAGCATAGGATACAGACACACACTCGGCATGTTGTAGCAGAGCTGCAGAGAGAGGGTTTCATAGAGATAGCAGGTAGGACAAAAGATGCAGCGTGCTGATTTGTGTCTATATCAGTGGTTGTGTGTTTTTGCACCTGCCTGCCTTGCACTGTGTGGATTTGAAAAGTGGCTTCATCATCTCCTCAGCCAAGCAGAGGTGGTCCAGCCCAGCGGGGTGGAGGTTGGGGGTGGGGGGGACAACAAACAGAAATCAGAGGACTTTTGGAGGAGAAAACACATGAGTAAAAGTCACAAAAAGTTGGCAATGGAAAAAAGTGGAGGGTTGGCAATAAGGCTGTCATGATATGAGATTTATACCTCATGCCAGTAAAGTTTAACCTAGACCTGATAATTATGGAAACTTAAAGATAAAACAATCCAATCAGTCAAACTGAGGCTGGAGGAACACATAACTTTATAAACCTTACTAACAAACATGTCATCGTCTATTTCTAATGATTTATTTTATCTGCATCACCAGCCCTGTGACTGAAGAAGACATTGCCTCATAAATTAAAAGTCATGCTTTTATTTTGATGTATTTTCTACTTCTTTCCTGCACTGTTGAATTATGCTTTTATTCTGAAGCAGACTTCTTCTGGTATATGGGGAGTTATGGAGCTGAATAAAAGCAGTGAAAAGAATGGCTAGAATGTGTAGAAATTTAGCGTGAATGCTACAGCTAGCTCACTTTCAGCTGCTGCTTTTTCTTCATCTCTGTACTGTTTCATGACAAGCGTCATAAAGGACCTTATCTAGGAGGTGATAAAGAAGCATCAGGATCAGTTTTCAGCCCGTTAAAACTCCTCATAGTGCCTTTAAGAAGACATAGTAACACTGTAAAGAATAACATAACCATATTTAAATATGCATGAGGTTTAAAGGTGTGTACTTTGACCCAAGAGGACTTGAGGAAGTCCAGATGTCTCTGGATGATGATACTGTTGAAAATTTCTGTAAGTAGGTGGAAGCACCTCTCAAAATATTAATGTTACATTCTCGCACACAGAGAAAGAGATTGTGTTGCAACGAGAAGGTTGGACTGAACTGCAGAGTCACAGAGAGCAGAGCAATGCGTATACACTGCCCATGCTGTAGGACTTCAGTAATTCATCAATAGGGACAAAAAAAATTGCTGTAGCCCAACCCTGTGAGGAGATGGAGAACTTTAAAGCACGTATCAATAATTCAGTTTGGCTTTCTTAATGTGCGCTAATGCTAAAGTCAACATCAAGTGTCAAGAATTGGGGACACCAGGCGCAGCCAGAAGAGCTTTAATACTCTTTGGCATGGATTGTAAAAGGCTTTTAACTTTACTCAGGAAATGAAGATCACCCTTCCAAAAAATATTCCAAAACTTCTGATCAGGGCTCAGACGGGTTCAGGTCTACTCAACCAAACACTGACACTCCTACTGCTAACCCTGCTTATTCGAGCACACAGGTGCAGCTATGGCACAACAGACTGAACGGCACATAAAAAGTCACATACACACACAAACACACACACATACTTGAATGTATATTGAGATTAACCACACTCTTACAGTGAGACTATACTGTATGATGGGCCATCAGCAAAAAGAGGAAAGATGACAAAGATAAAAGTAAATGTGGGAGAGGAGAGGCTGTGAAGAATGCACATACATAGTTACTCATAAACACACACACACACACACACACACACACACACACACACACACACACACACACACACACACACAGAAACACACACAGTAGAAACTCAGGGCAACAGGTCAGAGACAGCAAAGGGATGACACCAGCAGAGAGGAAATTAGTCATAACTGGATAGAGGAGGAAAGATGAAGACAACAACAGATACAGAATTTGTTTGTGTGTGTGTGTGTGTGTGCATGTGTGTGTGTGCATGCGTGTGTGCGTGTGTTGGAGGTTGAGAAAGTATTACCTAAGACTAACACCCAAACAGAGCTGAGAGACTTAACTCTTAAAAGACACTAAGAGAGACATTAAAAAAAAATAAACGCGAGCAAGCTCACCAATGATTGAGCAATGACACACACACACACACACACACACACACACGTACACACACACACACACATGCTCAGTGTGAGTCTGCGCTTCCCCAGGAGTGGGCTCAGTCACTGAGGGGTCAGCCATTTATCCTGTCCCATTACTGCGGACACCGCTGTGAAATTGTCCAATAAATCAGTGTCTGAGAGCAGCAGTGCTCCCCCTGCTGACCGGCTGACTGGCTGTTTGACCGGCTGGCTGCTTGTTTCTCTCTCTGCCAGATCTGCAATTAGGGCAGAGATACCAGAGGAGGCCTGCACATGGTCAAAGAGGTGCCAGGAGGATGAATCCACATAGATGCCAGTGGATAACTCAGCGGTCTCATGCAGCACTTTTGTAGCATCATTATTCTGATTTATAGCAGACGGCTCTGACGGCTTCGACTTCGATTTGAGCGTCTGTTGACTAAACTTACAAACAGCGATGCAACAAATCACAAGAGGTCAGTGATCCACTCAGACCCCCAGCACAGTTTAGATCTTTTGAGATTGGTGTAAATGACCAACATGACTGTGTCTGTCTGGCTGTGGTTGATTTACTTTTAATATTGACCTCTGACCTTTGAGTTTAAAACATTTCTGAGTAATGCAGGTTTGTGTTTGGTACTCAGTTGTTCTGCTTGTCGTGCTGCTGTCTATGGAATCTAGTTATTTGCTTCCTTGTATGACTGGGTGATTTGGCAAAAAAAAAAAAAAGACCACAATGTATTTTGTCATATCATTCGATCTCGATTATTATCACGATTTTTTTGGTATTTTTTTTAAACTGCCATTTTTAAAACATCTGTCCTAAAAACTAAAGAAACTAGAGATAAATTCAACATTTTAATTAACATACAAAGTAAATGGCAATGCAAATTAAATAAGTTAAACATTAAAAAAATATTAAAAAAACATTTTTATTCCACAATACAACAAATGTAGATAAATATTAAATGATACAGTGAACTATACAGTCCTGAGTGTTTTTGCAGGTATGCAAGACCATAAATAAACAAATGCCTCCCTCAGGGATAATGAAGATGCCTTAAAATGTAAACATTAGAGGATGTAAATATAGATGATAAGACTTGTGGCTAAACTGCTAATGCTACTTGTGCCGTCAGCAGTGACAGTCCATACAAACTCTGCTCACATTTTCATGTTTTCTGCATAATCACTTGGGAAGAACTTCTTCAAATGATTAAACAGATTTGTTGTGTTGCTGGTTTTTGAGGCACCGACCACCAACATACCTTTCACATTAGCTTAATTACTCAACGTCACTTTGGAGATACCCGAACCACCACCACAAAAAAAGATATTGAATAACTTTTCTTCTCAACAATGGCATCTTCGATGGATGACTCAAAGTCATGGTTGACATCTATTTTGGTGCCCTCAGCTCTGCCTTTAGCTCCACGTTCGGTCATTCTGTTTACTTTCCCTGTTTACTTTTCTGGCAACTTACAGGAGTGTGCAGGAAAAGCTCGACTCTGATTGGCTGTTGTGATGCACATTTCAGCTACGTTTGATTGAGTAAATATGCTCACAGCTGATCACCTTATCGAACTGAAATTGATCACGATCATTAATCACGATCATATAACCGCCCAGTCCTACTTCCTTGTGCTCAAATCCTTACAGCTCGTGGTGCAGAGAGGTTTCTTCGTGTTTCCTCTGCACTATCTTAGCCAATCAGAGTCCTGCTGGACCACTTCTGTTGAGTCCCATTGGACAGAGGTTGGGTTTCTTTTAAATTTATACCCAGTATGGGTCCATACCATCCAACAAAGGGTTGATTTCGCTTTTCAGCAGAGGTGAAATGACTGACTGAAAGACACAAGGTCATTTTACTGAGACTGTTGAATATGATAAAAACTTCAAGTATTTTTCTTCTCAGTTTCACACTATTCACACTATTATAGACCAAACTTCTCCATCAGCATGAGTCTCATGTTTTACCGCAGAGCACGTCCTTAGCCTTAATTGAAGCAATTACACAATCCTGAGTCACTTCATCAAGCGCTGTATGAATGAGTTTTTTTTTTCTTTTTTCTTATACTTGTCATTGTGATAGCTGAGTTTGAGAACACACTAACAATCAAACAAAACAAGTTTATTATAGTTGGAGAATGGGGTTAAGTTTCTTGTTTGTCAACACAGTGAGAGGAGACTACATGCCCTCACATGGCAACATCAAGTTCTCATTATACAGACCACACAATCTACTTTTGTACAGGATTTCCAAAAAGAATGTTGAATTATAATTTGGCAGAGCAGAAAGTGTTTTCCAACCCCACTCTCTGAGACTAACAAACATCATCATCTCAGGTCTGAGTCAATTAACAGAACAGGAAATGACAAATCTCAGCCTCCTGACCTCCTTCCCAAATATGACTTCATGCAAAAGTAATGAGGTGATTAATTAGCTTGCAGCCACACTCTTTTAAAGATGTCTTTCCCTTTTTATTGACTGTGAGGACAAGGGAGCAAATGGATGTGCTTCTGCAAGCTAAGGGTTCATTTATGAATTTTACCTAATTTTGACAACATGCAACAATCCAGGATACTTTTAGGGCCTGGGGCACAGAGGGTTCAAGGACCCTGTTGGAATGCACATAATCATCATTAGAGCCAGAGCACCAATTAGCTGTAAGCACCACCAGATCCCACAGGGGTTTCATGGCACGAGCACTGGATGGTGCAAAAAGTCTTATGCAGACCTCTTGGGTTGCAGGTGAAAATTTTATAAGTTATGGGTTTTTATTATGGCTGAGGTAAACTGTCTCTAAAGCCACCCCTTAGAAATCTCTAAATACCCTTCTAAATACACTTCACATCTCATACAGATATCTGGCACCCTAAAATCTACAAAAAAGCCTGTTTATGTCATAGTGAAAGATTGATGATCAAATGTTTTAATTTCGTTCAAAGAAAAAGAAAGCTGGAGGAATTTCAAAAGGAACTAAGTCCAAAACCAAGACTGGAATAACATTTTGCAGATCATCAAATTATATTCGATCAAACTGGATTTTCATGATGGGTTGTCCCAGTGTTCTGTATTCCTGTGTTCCTGTTCTTTCTGTGTTTTTCAGTTTTGCTCTTTAGTTCAGTTTTCAGTGTTTCCTGTTTTATTTTGAGTCTGACTTTCTTGCTTTCCTTGCCCATTTTGATGAGTCATCAGTTTCATTTTGTCTGGCTCACCTCTTGCTTGTTTCCCTGGGAGTATAATCGGTCTTCAAAGAAATGTCCTTTCCTTTTTCCAAGTCTAAACTCTGTACTGTGACATGGGTATCTTTTCAATTTCAATAAAGGATGAGGATTTTTTTGGTTCATAATCATTAATCCTCAAATGCAATGTATGACTAAAGGCATCAAGTTAACTTCTCTAGATTTCTACATTCCTCTGATGTGTGGAAGAGAACAAGCAGTAAATAGAAATTCTTGTTATATTCAAATATTGTAATACGTAATGCAGGACTATACTTATCTCTATACGTATCTCCTCAAAGCAACTGCTCCACACCCGACATTTGCCAAACCTGAAATTTAAGAGATGCATGTCTCTGCATCTGGTTTAAGTGTAAGTGCGTGGTGAAAGCCCCTGCTTGAATCTGTTTTTGCAGCTCTGAGAACCGTGGCTTTTGAAGCTGTATTTCCACCACCTTCTGCCCTTAGCAGATCACACCCAGAACCTGTCAGTCATCCTGACAGCCTGTCTTGAAGACCTCAGTTGGATCTTTCTTTATGTTGCACATGTAAGTGGAAGTCTCTTGCAGAGCCAGCCTCAATCCTGCAGAGCTCAGAATTAGGTTTCCTCTCCTTCAGAGTGTTTACAGATGGAAAAACAGCCCTTACAGACAGTATATTGTGTTAGGTTATTGGTTAATCATATTCATATACACTGTTTGCAAACAACATATTCATTGTTGTTTTCTGATATTATAGAAAATGATGTTTTGTCGTTACAGCAATCCTGCTATAAGGTAGCATGCCTGATAAGACATGACAGGCGGGCTGTGCCTGTCACTGAAGCTGCATACAGAGAACATGTTTAGTATGAGCGAGTGTGTCCAGACAGGAGATCAGACAGCTAGAGAGGCATGATTTACGCTCATCCTGAATGACAGCTGCATACTGAGCCGCTTCCTCTCCTGATTGGTTTTCAGTGTCTTTGTTCAGAGATTTTTACCTAAATCCTGCTTCTCCTTCAGCTGAATAACTACCAGCAGTTTCTGCAGTAACGCACTTAATTACGTCACTATTGTGAAACATCACTAGGGGAAAAGTTTGGCAGAAAACATGAGACCAAAGGATGTTGAGTGTCCCAGTTTTGAACTAAACAGACAGAAACCACCACTGCAGCCTTGTCCAGGTGACATAGACATCCTGCTTTGTAGCTCTGCAGACAAAACGCAATGTCTCAACATCTTGTTGCAAAGCTTCTGCAGGGAACTTTTATTATACCAGGACGTTGAGGAAAAACTCAAGGAGTAAATGAACATTTAATGTATTTTAAGCTGCAAATAAAGTTAGAAATTAACCACATCAGTGCATCTTAAGAGTCCATGGAGAACAAGGCTTTCACTTTGTGTCTGTCAAAGCTGCTTTTACAGAAAAAAAGACAGCCCTCATTTGTCCTTGCAGATCTTGTCCTCATAAGTGACCCTTTGAGATTTGTTTGGAGGACTAGGCAGAAACTTAGAGAGGCAAGAGGAGCGACATGCACCAAATGAGGACTAAAGGCGAATAGAGGGGGTGCACAATCGAACCACAAGTAGAAGTTCCAACAGAAAGAAAGAAAAAGCTTGTTTTCTGTTGAAAATAAAGAGGAATCCAACCGGGCGGATTAGTCTGTGGAGAATATCTGCATGTTTATCAGTGTCTTTAAAATCTTTTTGTTACACTCAGAAAAGTTCGAGAGTTCCTCTTCCCCCCATGAACTCAAACAAATTTTCATGCTAATCCGTCCTTAAGTGTTTGAAGTTATCGAGTCAAACAGACAAAGAGAGAACAGGCTGAATACCAACGTAACCCTATCCAACATTAGCAGGCAGAGGTAACACACCATAACTGTATTACCTTTGGAAACAAGTGTGTAATTACCATAAACAAACAAAACAGTCAGCGACAAGATTGGCAGCTGCAGCGCTGCATTTAATACCCGGTGTCACCCGCTTTTAACTTTTGGGTGAGAAAATGGATTTTCAGATTTCGGGAGCGAAACATGAAGCACTTTGACTTTACAGATAAAAAACTAAACTTCATCTGATTAAAAAGAAAAAAAAATAGATAAGACTTTTTGCTGCTAAATTTTATCCTCATAGTTTTAGTCTGTATGAGGAGTGTAGGTCAGGACTGGTCCACCAATCAGGGATGAACAGTGACGTGTCTGAACCTCCCACAGACATGAATCATATAAAAGATTAAAATATGCACAAAATCCTGACTGTTTAACAACCAGCAATGCAGTTATATGTTACTCTTCTTAAATGAATGATTGCAGCTTGTTTCAAACAGACTTATCATGCTGGTTTGTATCATTGTTGTAAACTTGCATGGTTAAATGTGCATGCCAAACCTCTGCAGCGCTTCATAACATGAAACACACTGATGTCGGGGTAAGGACAGTTCTTTTTGAGACACTTCCGCAACCTGATGTCTGCTTGTACTGTTATATTTGACATTGTAAAAGTAGGGCTGTAAAGTCCTAGTCCACTGGTCGACTTGCTGGTCGATACTCGGTGAGTCAACCAAAATTCTGATTGGTCGACTCAATTTTTTTTCACGTCAATTTACAGTCTATGGTTAATGTCATCAAAAGGAATGTATCAAGTGCTAATGGGGTTGTTTTCAGAGCACCCCCGTTTCACAGGGGGATCTCAAAACACCCCCTTGTTTTCACCATTTTGGATTTGCCCAACCCACTGGAGACAGGAAGATTGAAGAGCTTCCAAGTCAATCAACGTCCTGAGGTTTGCTGAATATTTATATTTTAGCCTTTTGTGTTTAATTGCCTTCTTGTACTAATGTCATTACATTTGCAATCGCCGAGCCAAGCTCCACCAAGCTGTGTCGTCCCCTGCTGCAGAAGGGTTTGCTATCAGAGTTGGACCCCCCACCCCCACACCCACTCCCCAGATTAGTTGATTTTTGGTCGAAAATTTCAGGGTTTGAGTCGACCATAAATTTCTTTGGTTGGTTACAGCCCTCTAAAGGACACACTCATCAGCTTTGTCAGGAGAAAACCAACCTGAAAGACAAAAAGTCTGTGTCACTGCTCTACTTTCCTCTCAGTATGTTCTGGAAAGTTCTTGAAAGTGTTCTTCCATTTCTGAAAGAGAGTCAGTTTTCTCCAGAAAAGTGGCACTGGAAACCCATCAGAAGGATGGATGTCTTTGCTCACCACTGATGACTCCTTTGTCAACAAAAGCCAACACAAGCTGGATTTATATCTGAGTTGTTCCAGAAATCTGGGGCCGCTCTATCTGTAAGGACCTTTCATAAAGGCTCAGAACCACAAGCTTTAGGTGAATTCAAACTTCTGCACCCTCACATATAGTCATAACATTTTGGCCTTCATATACCAGAATAATATACTCTGCTAAAATTCTGACCC